TCCAAAATATATTTATAACCCACAATACAGCTTGGGTAGCCAAATGCACCAGGCACATCAAAGTGCCTGATGAGAATCAATCACATGTTCTACGACTCCAAAGGGCTTCAGCCAGCCTGACTCCTAGCACCCTCAAAATCGACACATTTACATAAACCAGATCCCGCTAACAAAGGGATTATCATTCCAACCATTTTAACCCCAGGCGGGTCTCTGTCTGCTGGAGTCTAACACACCACCAACCAGAATGTGCTCAGGGATACTCATATTAACATTAACTTAAAGCTACAACTGGGAAAGTCAGTCTGTCGTAAATCTTTTAATTCACTGCAAGATCAAATCTGAATTATTGGGGAAAACTATGCTTTGATTCTAAACATCCCCTTCCCATCCATTAGACTGCTATAAATAAACCAAGAGGGCCGGGCGCGGTGGCTCAGGCCTGTAATCCCAGCACTTTGGGAGGCCGAGATGGGCGGATCACGAGGTCAGGAGATCGAGACCATCCTGGCTAACACGGTGAAACCCCGTCTCTACTAAAAAGTACAAAAAAAAAAACTAGCCGGGTGAGGTGGCGGGCGCCTGTAGTCCCAGCTACTAGGGAGGCTGAGGCAGGAGAATGGCGTAAACCTGGGAGGCAGAGCTTGCAGTGAGCTAAGATCCGGCCACTGCACTCCAGCCTGGGCGACAGAGGGAGACCCCATCTCAAATAAATAAATAAATAAACAAACAAACAAACAAACAAACCAAGAGATGGTTATACTAAACTCTAAAGAGTAAGGAAGACTGAATCCCAACATCACGGAGTTCAAAAAAAAGTAACTTCTGGGAATCTGATGGTCCCTCAGAGTAAAAACTACTTACACATTGAACAAGTGACCTGCCACTACAATGAAAGAAAATCTAGGCCGGGCATGGTGGCTCACGCCTGTAATCCCAGCAATTTGGGAGGCTGAGGCAGGAGGATCACCGAGGTCGGGAGTCCGAGACCAGCCTGACCAACATGGAGAAACCCCATCTCTACTAAAAACACAAAATTAGATGGGCCTGGTGGCGCATGCCTGTAATCCCAGCTACTCGAGAGGCTGAGGCAGGAGAATCGCTTGAACCTGGGAGACACAGCTTGCGGCACTTCAGCCTCGGTAACAAGAGTGAAATTCCGTCTCAAAAAAAAAAAAAAGAAAGAAAATCTAATTCAAAACAATCTGCTGGACACCTGTTTCCCTCTTATAACTCAGAGAAGTTAGGAACCCCTAACCCATCCAACATACACACTCAACAAGCTCCTAGAATTGTGAAAAAGTTTCAGACATAAAGATGATTCTGCACATATAGCTAAAACTGAAAATAGTTTAAAGAGGAAAAAAAGTAAGCCACAGATAAAATATTTCCTTGTATAGTAGGCAAGTTCAAGATTAGGAACTAATGCCCTCACGATACATTTCCCACTTGGTCTCATCTACTCCAAGTAACAAGACCATTCTGTGAAGCCAGATGACTCAAAAAAAAACCCTATCTGAAGCATCTGTCTCCCTCTCCTGAGGAACCTGGACACTGATTAACATGACCCAAATGTACCTTACCATTATCCCCAAAACCTGAGCCTCTTCTTTACTCCGTTTTCGTGAAATGTACCAACATCCATGTGCCCCATCAAGACTGACTCTAACCCAGCTCTCTTTTCTGCTCCCACTGCCCCTGACTTCACATAAAAGCCCCCACCATCTCAGGCTGAGCCAGAATCAAAAGAAATCATACGTGGAATCTCAGAACTTGTCTTCCTGGGTCTCTGGCCCAGACTGGCTTGCTCCTAGCCCCTCTTCTTCCCTCCCTCCATCCCGTACTTGGTACCCCTAGTCAGCTCCTGGAAATGGTTTCAGTATTGGTGGGACCTCAGAACTGTCTTTCGCTGCAGTCCATGTCACTATCATTTCTTGAACATCCACTCCCCCTCTTCTTCACCGAGCCTAACTACTCCGACCCCTCCTTCAACACAGCTCTGAGCCATTGCACCGGGAAGCCTTCCATGACCTTCAGGTGCCTCTCCAAGGTACTGCCATGACCTTCTACCTACTTCTTGTAATTGTTTACCGGTAGGAGCATCTTGGAGGTGGGGCTGCGTCTTTATCTTTGCTTCCTGAGTACCTAGCACAGCACAGCAGTGCTCAATACACACATGATGAATAAATTAATGGATCCAGCAGTCCCTAATGATAATGAGTCAGATGCTAGCTTAAGAGGAAATGACAGTGCTTCTAAATCATTAATTAGAAGTAATTTTAAGTAGAGTTCTCTGTCTCTGTGGCTGTCTCTGTGCCTGAAAGGAAACCGCGGCAGTAAAAGGAACGTCCCCTCACGAGGGTTCACTGGCCCTCCAACAGCTGACTCAGATCGACAAGCTAAAACCTAAAATAATTCAAGCTCATGACTGCACAGAACTATTATCAATGAATCAATGATCAGCGAGTTACAAGAAACCACATCATTCGGGGAATGAGAAATTGGGAGGTGCAACTTAATGGAGAAGAAATGAAAGTCAGCAGCCAATACAGGGTGAGCAGCCACAACAAACATGAATAACTCGAACACCAAGGCCACAACGCATCAGGAAAAAACTGCAAACCGAATAAGGCAAAAAAAAAAAAAAAGGGTCAGAAACCTACACTACCACTCAATACCGGTCAAAGCAGTTATCCTCAGTCCCACCACAGGCATTATTTCCAAGGATTACAAAACAAGAACTTCTGTCTTACTGCTCAAGAAACTGAGTTTTGCTGGTTGAACTGTTGTCCCAGAGAAACAATCATCTCTCTCAGCTTAATGAAGAAAGATGAAGGCACACAAACTGCATCCACTCATACAATTTAAAAAAAAAAGAGTTTAGAAAGTCAATTTGGACTATCTCCACTGCTACACTGCCCCTACCACCACCAAAACAAAAAACAAAAAACAAAAAAGCGGCTGGGCGCGGTGGCTCACGCCTGTAATCCCAGCACTTTGGGAGGCCGAGGCAGGCCGGTCACAAGGTCAGGAGATCGAGACCAGCCTGGCCAACATGATGAAACCCCGTCCCTACTAAAGATACAAAAGTTAGCCGGGCGTGGTGGCATGTGTCTGTAGTCCCAGCTACTCTGGAGGCTGAGGCAGGAGAATCACTTGAACCCGGGAGGTAGAGGTTGCAGTGAGCCGAGATCACGCCACTGCACTCCAGCCTGAGCGACAGAACAGGACTCTGTCTCAGAAAAAAAACAAACAAAAAAGCACACTCATGAGAGATTTTTAAAAGAATTTGTGTCAACTGCCCCAACATCCTTTAGTAATCAATTCCAATGTTGAACAATGATTAATAATGAACTGTTTTTCATATAGTTTAAACATATAGAGAGAAAGGACAAAGTCACCTAAATCTTGTCTTAGAGGGTACAACATTTTTTTGAAACTGTAAACCAAATCTCAGTGATTTGATGCCAGGACGTGGAAGTCATCTGACTTCACCACCCACTGAGATGAGCAGGTCTTTTGCTAAACACTGAAAAAATGAAAATGCAAAAAATGGAGAGGCCATTTCTTTTACAGTCCCAGTCCTGCGGGGTTCACCAATGTGAAAATTGGAAGGTTTCCAAGGGCACCATCCTGCCCTGATTCTATCACCTAAAAATTCCCCTAAATCAAACTTGAGTTTACGATGAAAATCTTCCACCCTAGATCACCATGAACAGCAAGCTCTTTTCTGTACCTAGAATCAGCACACATGACTGGACCCCAGATCTCTGTACTAGATGTCTGACCCCAGGAGGTCAAATCTCACCCAAGGAGTACAGGTACAGATAGAAAATCTAACACAACGCAATCTCAACTAACGGAAGCAGTTCTAAGATTTTTTTTGTAAAGATCAAGCGTTAGGCTCAATTAAGAAAACTATTTGCAGACAGGCACGGTGGCTCACGCTTGTAATCCCAGCACTTTGGGAGGCCAAGGTGGGCGGATCACCTGAGGTTGGGAATTCGAGACCAGCCTGACCAACATGGAGAAATCCTGTCTCTACTAAAAATACAAAACTGGCCGGGCGTGGTAGCTCGTGTCTGTAATCCCAGCTACTCGGGAAGCTGAGGCAGGAGAATCGCTTGAACCTGGGAGACGGAAGTTGCGGTGAGCCAAGATCATGCCATAGGACTCCAGTCAAGGCAACAAAAGTGAAACTCCGTCTCAAAAAAAAAAAAAAAAAAAAAAAAGAAAAGAAAAGAAAACTATTTGCACACAAGAGAATTATTTATCCCCCTTTTTTTAATATTAGCAAGCCTCGGGTCAGCATGTTCTTGGCAAATGTTTATTTTAAAAGACCACTGCCTGAACAAATTGCTCCAAAGCCTACCTCATCATTTACATAACGTCAGTACTTTTCCAGAACACAGGCCCTTTGAAATGTGTAAAGTGTTTCGAGTGGCTCCTCTTCCCATGCCTGAGTGTTACTAAGGATTGCTTCACAGCTCTCTCTGGCAGGATGTGAGAAACGCTGTATACACAAAATCCCAGCAAGGCTGATTCACTCACGCCAAGTCACCTCACAGCCAGGATTACTTAAGGAAAAGACCCCTCTGAACTCTCCGACACTCACATCCTGGGGCCGAAACCATGATATAAGCAGCCTCTGGAGCTTGACCGAAGTTCCTGAATGCACACACAGTCCCCCTTTTAACGTGTAAGTGCACGGTGGCCGGGGCTCGCCAACAAGCACGGTGTAGAGGGGGAGCAAGAACTGGCCGGGCTGCGCAGGAGGCCCGCCCGCTGAACAATGGCACACGAGTCGCCCACCCTCCCTCAAGAAGGCCAGTGAAGCAGCACATAGGTCAGGCGCTGAGCCCCCGGGAGGCAGAAATGGGCCCAGGAACCAGGGAGGGACTTGCTGCGGATGCCCAGGACGCTGGGCCCGGGAGTTTGAGCGCCGGGGGGCCGGGCCGCAGCCGCGAGGGCTGCACTCTCAGCCTGGCCGCCTCTCTCACCTCCTGCGCTGGCGGTCCCGGTTCCTGCCGAGGCGGTCGGACAGGCGTCCCAGGAGCGCGGCCAGCCCTGGGCGGCCAGGCAGGAGGCCCAGTAGTCGCCTCCAGAACACGGGTCCCGCCGCCGCTGCCGCCGCCACCGCCATGGAGATTCACCGCTTCCGCTTCCGCTCCCGGCGCGCACGAACTTTATTAACAACGGCGAGCGCGGACACGGTGCGGGCGCGCAGGCGCCGGAGCCCTGTCCCGGGGAGGGAGGCGCTGCACCGCCCCCAAGCCTCAGTTTCCCCTCTGAGGGACACAGGCGAGGAATAGTGGTCGCGCCACAGGAGTGGGTCGGAAGTCTGCCCGTTAAACCCGCAAGGGCTCCAGGCGGCCTGCATTCCTGCAGTCACTTGTCACAGGTAGCGGAGGAAAGGATGCGGCGCAGGGGCTCTAAGAGCAGCGTCACATTTGGCTCCAACTCACCAGCTGTCAGGGGATCCTCCCTAAGTGCTGGGACCACCAAAGTGCGTGTGCCACCGTGCCCGGTAAATTTTTTAATTTTTTGTAGAGATGGGGGGGGTCTCACTGTGTTGCCCAAGCTGGTCTCGAACTCCTGGGGTCAAGCGATCCTCCCGCCTCAGCCTCCCAAAGTCTTGCCAAGCCTGGCCACTGGCTGTCAAAATTGACTCCTTGGCGCACAGTGGCTCACGCCTGTAATCCCTGCACTTTGGGAGGCAGAGGCAGGTGGATCACATGAGGTCAGGAGTTCGAGACCAGCCTGGCCAATGTGATGAAACCCCGTCTCTACTAAAACTACAGAAAATTAGCTGAGCGTGGTGGCGTGCGCCTGTAATCCCAGCTACTCAGGAGGCTGAGGCAGGAGAATCGCTTGAACCCGGGAGGCGGAGGTTAGACTGAGCCAAGATCCCGCTACTGCACTCCAGCCTGGACAACATAGCGAGACTCCATCTCAAAAAAAAAAAAATTGAATCCTCATTGAAAAGTGGGGGGAATTACTGTTTGAGGCTCTAATTGATAGGGTGTTCTTTAGACTTGTACAGCACCCCTAAGGTGTTAAACTTGAACAAAGTCTGTTCTTGTATGAAGTCTTGTAACCTGGTTAACGCTGACTCATTAAGGTGCACAGAACCACGGAAAATCCCCACCAGACTGAGGGAGGAATCATCTTTCACCCTGTTAGTCCCAGAGGCTGCAGCTCCATGGCACAGAACAGTCTCAGCAAATCTGTGTGAGATGAACAGAGTCTTCCACCCTCCTGATGTGCCCAAGTACGCAGATATCACTGGCCCCAGCAACACACAGTTCTATGCCCAAAAGGCTGAAGGAGCGCATCCTCATACACCAAGAACACTGTTTTTTTTGTTTTTTGGTTTTTGGTTTTTGTTTTGAGACAGGGTTTCACTCTTGTCACCCAGGCTGGAGTGCAATGGTGCGATCTTGGCTCACTGCAACCTCTGCCTCCTGAGATCAAGAAATTCTCCTGCCTCAGCCTCCAGGATTACAGGCGTGCTGGGATTACAGGCATGCGCCACCACACCTGGCTAATTTTTGTATTCTTAGTAGAGACTGGGTTTCACCATGTTGGCCAGGCTGGTCTCAAACTCCTGACCTCAAGTGATCCACCCACCTTCGGCCTTCCAAAGTGCTAGGATTACAGGCGTGAGCCACCACGCCTGGCCCAAGAACACTTTTTGAAGCTAATTTTAAAATGGAGAACTTCGTGGCATTCTGAAAGGCAGGAGAGGTGATCTCTGATCTGTAATATGCAAAGCTCCCTGGCTGGCCCACATAGGCTGGGACCTGGAAACTGGAAAAGCTGTAGGACATAATCATAGTCTACTGTGTTGTGAGGTTAAAATGATATGGACACGTGGGCTGGGCGCAGTGGCTCATGCCTGTAATCCCAGCATTTTGGGAGGCCAAGGTGGGCGGATCATCTGAGGTCGGGAGTTCAAGACCAGCCTGACCAACAAGGAGAAACCCCATTTCTAGTAAAAATACAAAATTAGCTGGATGTGGTGGTGCGTGCCTGGTAATCCCAGCTACTCGGGAAGGCTGAGGCAGGAGAATCGCTTGAGCCAGGGAGGCGGAGGTTGCAGTGAGTCGAGAACGCGCCACTGCACTCCAGCCTGGGCAACAAGAGCGAAATTCAGTCTAAAAAAAAAAAAAAGATATGGACACACTGGAAAAAACCCTCCAAAGTCCACTTCCACAGATTATGTAGGGAAATCAACTACACATTCCCACAAGAATGTTCATCTCAGCCTTGTTCATGATATCAAGTGTGGGGTAGAGGGCTTGGTTAAATAATGATACATCAGTATGTTGGAAGACCACACATCCATAAAAATAACATGTTCTGGAAGAATATTTAATGACATTCAGTGTAAAAGCCAAATTACCAAGGAGTAGTGTAGAGACCATGTCATTTTATTAAAGGTGAGAGAGAGAGAAAGAGGAAATGTGTGTATGTATACAGAAAGACTGAACGGAAATACCCCCAAAAGTAAGCGTTGGTTATTTGGTACCATTAAGGAGTTTCCAAATTGTTGACAATCAACAAGTATTTCAGATTGGCTTTGAGTTGCCTTTTGCGTTTAGATGGCTTTACTAATACTACATGGAATTTGATTCAACCCTTCCAAGTTAGAAATGGTGAATCATCAAATTTCCTAACTTCCAGTAACTAGAATGAGGCCATCCATTGCATGGTTCCACTTTTGCACTGTTCCTGGCCCACAGTTGTTGCAGAGTAAACACTTGCTGTATGGCTACACCGTCATGCTCAGCGGTGAGCGCCGCATGGGCCCTGGGAGCCTAGTTATCATCCTGGAAAGAGCTGGCAGCTTTTCTACATGGGTGCTTTGCTGTGCGAGGTACTGAAACAAACAGCCATGCTACAGGCTCACTGGGAATTCCCAATCTTAAATAACTGCTAGTGACAGACAGCAATATTGATAGCATGGTAAGTCAAACTAATAAGTATTTACACTAAGGATAAACATCAAGGAATGACCCAGTCCCTTCTGAAACCACACACCGAGAGCCTCTGGCCTTCATGGCTAGTTTAAAACAGACAGAGCTATCACCAGAGTGAGGCAACCACAACTTTGCCCCGGGACACATACATTTCAAGGTTGCAAAAATGTTAAATAATGGTTTTCAGAGATTGTGCAATTTTTAAATGATTCCATTTACAGGATGACAGCACGTATGCATTCTTCCTGTCAGGAGGTCTCCTCTGGGCTAGTTACCGAAAACAAGTAGAGGAGATAAGACCCTCCTAGTCAACAAAGGTGACCCCGAGAGCCTGCCTGGGAGCACTCAGGGTGTCCCAAAGCTGCTTGACCGGCTCACAATCTGGGTCGGACACTACTGGATTCCCATCTCAATGACTGCGGGCGAAAAGACATCTGTCTTAGTCCCCCTCACCCTCCTGCCCTCACCCACTGCCTTCTCGTTAGTCCCATTCGCTCCTTCCCAGACAGGAGGTGCCAGGGTTAGAAAGACAGGGTCGATGGGATTGACATCCTATGTCTTCCCAAACGGAAAAGGAAACCCATTCATTGGAAGGAGAGTTGACGTCAACGAGTGGTGGGCTGCTGCCCCTGAGAGCGGGGCCGCTCTCCCAGGCAGGAAACACCAGGAAATCCTGAGCCAACAACCCATGCCTCACTGCCTGTGATTCACTCCCTGAACCGAAAATCACTGTAACACAAGAGGAAGGCCCCTCCTCTTCTAGCTTGCTTGCTGAGAGAGGGTCTCTCCCAAACACGGGGCTGTTAGCAAATTCCGAAGGGAGGAAGTGTCTGTCCGGCCCACCTTCTGCCTCCAGAGATGAGAAACGGCCCCCGGGGGCTGATCAGCTGTTTGTGAGGAGCCTGTTCTTTGTTAAAAGGAATGCAGCCTGCCCGCTGGAGATGGGATGAAACGGTAACTGCCCCATGGGTTCACCTTGCCTGCCGCCCAGACAGAACTGATTTATCAAGACAGGTGCATTGCAATGGAGAAAGAATGATTCACGCAGAGCCGGCTGCGCGGGAGACCAGAGTTTTATTATTACTCAAATCAGTCTCCCCAAGCATTCGGGGATCAGAGTTTTTAAAGATAATTTGGCAGGTAGGGAAGCTTGGGAAGTGGGGAGTGCTGATTGGTCAGGTTGGAGATGGACTCTTAGAAGGTTGAAGTGAGGTTTTTTTGCTGTCTTCTATTCCTGAGTGGGATGGCAGAACTGGTTGAGCCACATAACCAGTCTGGGTGGTGTCAGCTGATCCATGAGTGCAGGGTCTGCAAAATATCTCAAGCACTGATCTGCGGTTTTACAATAGTGATGTTATCCCCAGGAGTAATTTGGGGAGGTTCAGATTCTTGGAGCCAGAGGTTGCAAGACCCTAAACTGTAATTTCTAATCTTATAGCTAATTTGTTAGTCCTGCAAAGGCAGACTAGACCCCAGGCAAGAAGGGAGTCTTTTCGGGAAAGGGCTGTTATCAATTTTGTTTCAGAGTCAAACTATGAACTGAATTCTTTCCCAAAGTTAGTTCGGCCTACGGCCTATGCCCACGAATGAACAAGGACAGCTTAAAGGTTAGAAGCAAGATGGAGGCCGGGCGTGGTGGCTCATACCTGTAATCCCAGCACTTTGGAAGGCTGAGGTGGTTGGATCACGACGTCAGGAGATCGAGACCATCCTAGCTAACACGGTGAAACCCCGTCTCTACTAAAAATACAAAAAAATTAGCCATGCGTGGTGGCACGTGCCTGTAGTCCCAGCTACACAGGAGGCTGAGGCAGGAGAATCGCTTGAACCCGGGAGGTGGAGGTTAGAGTGAGCTGAGATCACACCACTGCACTCCAGCCTGGGCAACAGAGCTAGACTCCATCTCAAAAAAATAAAAGAAGATGGAGTCGATTAGGTCTGATTTCCTCTACTGTCATAATTTCCTCAGTTACAATTTTGCGAAGATGGTTTCAAAGCCTACCTGGGAGTGGCTGCCTGCCTCCCTCTCCCTCTATTCTTCCCCTTGGTCATACGTCCAGTCTCACCAGCCTGGCCTTCTCTCGAGCCCGCGTCCTCCTCAGCATCTTTTTTGTTGTTGTTGAGACAAAGTTTTGCCCTTGTCACCCAGGCTGGAGTGCAGTGGCACGACCTCGGCTCACTGCAACCTCTGCCTCTCGGGCTCAAGCGA